CAGTGCCACCACTTATATTTGGTGACACAAAGCTTGGATTTAAAAACAAAAAACTTTTTTCACTGTTATAGATTGAATAGCTGTCAGTGTCCTTAAAGCGGGTGTGTTACGCTAACAGTGGATATGGTGACCAGTGCCACCACTTAGATCTGGTGTCACAAAGCTTTGATTTAAAAACAAAAAAAAACTCTTTCACTGCTTTTGAACACGAAATGCCCACTTCAAAACGTACACCGCAACAAAACCCAAAGCACATTCTCCCGCCCGCTGGGACACGGCCCCAGACCCGGCACGCCAAAACCGATTTTAAAAAACAAAAACTTTTCACTGTTATAGATTGAATAGCAGCTCGCGTCCTTAAAGCGGGTGTGTTACGCCTAACAGTGGGATACGCGACCAGTGCCACCCACTTAGACCTCGGCGACAGCCAATAGCTTGGATTTAAAAGCAAAAAACTTTTTTCACTGTTATAGATTGAATAGCAGTCAGTGTCCTTAAAGCGGGTGTGTTACGCTAACAGTGGATACGGTGACCAGTGCCACCACTTAGATCTGGTGACACAAAGCTTTGATTTAAAAACAAAAAACTTTTTTCACTGTTATAGATTGAATAGCAGTCAGTTGTCTGCCACTACTGCCAGCTTCTGTGTCAGGCTCACAATGCATACTGTGCCCATTTCCCCAGTCAGTGCCACCACTTACATCTGGTGACACAAAGCTTGGATTTAAAAACAAAAAACTTTTTTCACTGTTATAGATTGAATAGCAGTCAGTGTCCTTAAAGCGGTGTGTTACGCTAACAGTGGATAGGGTGACCAGTGCCACCACTTAGATCTGGTGTCACAATAGCTTGGATTTAAAAACAAAAAACTTTTTTCACTGTTATAGATTGAATAGCAGTCAGTGTCATTAAAGCGGGTGTGTTAAACTCACAGTGGATACGGTGCCCAGTGCCAACACTCACTGGTGTCGCAATAGCTTGCATTTAAAAACAAAAAACTTTTTTCACTGTTATAGATTGAATAGCAGTCAGTGTCCTTAAAGCGGGTGTGTTACGCTAACAGTGGATACGGTGACCAGTGCCACCACTTATATCTGGTGTCACAATAGCTTGGATTTAAAAACAAAAAACTTTTTTCACTGGTATAGATTGAATAGCAGTTAGTTATCTTCAAGCAGGTGTGTTACGCTAACAGTGGATACGGTGACCAGTGCCACCACTTAGATCTGGTGTCACAATAGCTTGGATTTAAACAAAAAACACTTTTTTCACTGTTATAGATTGAATAGCAGTCAGTGTCCTTAAAGCGGGTGTGTTACGCTAACAGTGGATACGGTGACCAGTGCCACCACTTAGATCTAGTGACACAAAGCTTTGATTTAAAAACAAAAAACTTTTTTCACTGTTATAGATTGAATAGCAGTCAGTTGTCTGCCACTGCTGCCAGCTTCTGTGTCAGGCTCACGGTGCATACTGTGCCCATTTCCCCAGTCAGTGCCACCAATTACATCTGGTGTCACAATAGCTTGGATTTAAAAACAAAAAACTTTTTTTACTGTTATAGATTGAATAGCAGTCAGTGTCCTTAAAGCGGGTGTGTTACGCTAACAGTGGATACAGTGACCAGTGCCACCACTTATATCTGGTGACACAAAGCTTGGATTTAAAAACAAAAAACTTTTTTCACTGTTATAGATTGTGCCCATTTCCCCAGTCAGTGCTGTGGAGTGTTGATCATTATTTAATGTGTAGTTTGCAATATATATATGTATGTATTATATGGTATGGTGCATATATATATCTAATATGAATGTACATTTAGCTGTATAAAATAGGTGTATGAAATATTGCAGGCCTTTTTGCTTAGATTTGAAAAAGTTAAATTTTCAATGACATTTCCACAAGGTTAACAGCTAAAAGGTTGAAGTTAAATTAGAACAAACACATGTGTTGTCAGTCAAATGCATACAAAACACTTCACTTAATTTTGAAGCTAACTATAGGCAGAGCCATCTAGGGTATATCCCAAACTTAGATATTCAATACATTACATCACGCAACAAGTTAGAAAACCTTTTTGGGAGTATTACACAGGTGGGGGCTGCTTTATGGAGGACAAAATGGCTATTTAACTGAAGGAGAAAGAGTGTGACGTTGTCATTCATTCACCATTCATTCATTCATCCATCTACTCTTACTCTGCCTGCTGTCACCACACATCTGAAAGGTATACAGGGACATATGCTGTAGCCACTAATACATTTGGTAAGATTAATTATTTACTGACTATTTTTGCATTCTGTAACATTCATTCAATACACTTTTATCTTATATTTATTTGAGTCATTGTTTCATTTATTACAATATTATTACAGTGCCTTTTGGGTCTTCAGACACTGGATTATTTTAGTGATAGTCAAGTTATCATCTAGAATGGTTAAGGAAAACAGTATTTATAAGTAATTTGGGAATGGAAGGGTCTGCTCCGTATACAGCTATAGATTGCATAAAGACACACTAAGCTTAGAATGACCCGGAGTGACCTTTTGTCGGTAAAGGTCCACATCATACCTGAAGCGAGCCATAACTATCAATATTGAAGGATCACCGAAAACCGACAAGTGCCACCACTTACATCTGGTGACTCAAAGCTTGGATTTAAAAACAAAAAACTTTTTTCACTGTTATAGATTGAATAGCAGTCAGTGTCCTTAAAGCGGGTGTGTTACACTAACAGTGGATACAGTGACCAGTGCCACCACTTATATCTGGTGACACAAAGCTTGGATTTAAAAACAAAAATCACTTTTTTCACTGTTATAGATTGAATAGCAGTCAGTGTCCTTAAAGCGGGTGTGTTACGCTAACAGTGGATACGGTGACCATTGCCACCACTTAGATCTGGTGACTCAAAGCTTGGATTTAAAAACAAAAAACTTTTTTCACTGTTATAGATTGAATAGCAGTCAGTGTCCTTAAAGCGGGTGTGTTACGCTAACAGTGGATACGGTGACCAGTGCCACCACTTAGATCTGGTGTCACAATAGCTTGGATTTAAAAACAAAAAACTCTTTTCACTGTTATAGATTGAATAGCAG